ACTACTATTCTTTAATCTAAATTATTGACTGAAATCTTCACATTAAAATATTTTTAGGTGACCTGTGAATTAATACGACATTATGTACTGTCACACTATTTTTCAAATACTTGGAGCAATACGAATGTTCTTATCACTGGTTATTCATCATTAGTACGGTAATAAATCTAAGTCACGTGTATGAATGATTTGTAATTTTCCGTTTGTATTCTTCACTATCTAAATATTTACGTACTTCTTATTACGTAATGATTTTAATGTTTTGTAATGACTATCCTAAGTCTATTTACCCACATTTTATCTCCTATTTCCAATGTTTAACGATTGATAAAACTTTTGTTATCGTAATTTAATATTCCTACTACTGTCAGTACACCTGTCTTCCCACTACCAACTTGTACTTGCTCGGTGACGTATCCTATTTCATTATGATTATTAACTCAAACTGCCTTGATCGGTACAACATTTTCGTATAAATATTCATGTATATTAGAGTAAAGCTTGATAACGATCTAATTGAAAACAATTGTTCACATACATATGTTCTAAATATTCGTTAACAAGTAATTGGAACCTTTCTTTATTCAATCTGTTTATTTCACATGAATCGTTATTTCGACTGCAATTCAATATGAGTTATGTCTAGTAATACCATTATGTATTTGATGATTCTCATTTTACATGCACATTAATGATTCAGAAACGATTTTTAAACCTTCAAATTGCACTTTTATTTTTATTTCATATAAAAACATTAACACCAAATATCATTGATTGATAACCCAATCTTACACATACGTACACACACACACACACACTTTATCCAGTCATTTATATTCACATCGTGAACTTTTCACATGATTCGCACTTAACTGACTCTTGTCATCCTATTTACTAAAGTCAGCATGTAAATATGATTGGATTAGCATAGTATAGGTTTTATCTGATTTGATTGTTAAACGTTATATAATTCCTTGATTTGTTATTATTCTCCTGAAGAAGTCCAGGTAAGTTTACTGAACGAAACGTTAGAATTATTTGAATTTCAGTCGCAGAGATTATTTCAAATATAATTTTCATATAGAAGCAACGGTTTTTCTGACGAATAATAATACATTCAAACTTTCTGTTATATCGTATACCCTCGTAATAAATATGAACGTGCAATTAGAGAGGAGTAAATTTATTGATCGGACGCAAATGATACTTGAAATCGTACGAGCAGTCTTGGGTGCTATTCGGTCCTTCCTATCTGCCTAGCCCAGCCAGTTAAGTCCAGAACACAAATAACCGCCTCGGCAATATGAATCATTATTTACAAACATACTGGGTTTTTATACAAACCAAAGTAATCAATAAACTGATTATAACTCAAGAATCGTATGATACTAAGTCAAAGCTCAAAATAAAGCTAATGATAAGAGAAATACGAATATGAATAGTTCAGTTACGTAGTAATTGTACAATAGGAAATAGGCATATTACATTGATCCATAAATAGACCTAAGTTACCATTCGTAATTCACCGGGGGATATAACACTTTCATATACATATATCCTCTGGAATAAATCGATTCAGATAATAACTTCTGCATAGAAACTCAATATCAAAGAAGAATAAATAACACCGTTAATCGATCTTGATAAATTTCCATGTGGTGAATTTCCTTGAGAATTACTCACTTAGTGACTGAGATATTGAGGTTCCAATCGATGTCTCTGTACTGGGTTGTGGAGATCGTCGAATTTCATTGGAATCATGGACCGATTTCAGGTCTAAACCTCCATTAAGAAGAAACAAAATATTTAACTCGATAATTTAGTTACATTTATTGGTTAAAGCGGTTAAACTATTGATTTTGCAAATTATATGCATACAAAGAACGATTGATTAACTAGTGTCAGTTCAATAAATTCACCTTAAACTTTTGATCGGGCGTTTTAAATGACATAAGTAACATTGTGAATTTTGTTGTAATCCTGATCATTTGTGAATCACAGGTTAGTGTATAAATAAATCTTTATCCACAGTCTTGTATTTTTCTTCGCATTGAGCTGTGTCATTTATGTCCCGTTAAAGAGGTAGTAAATGGTAGCTTATTGCGCAGTCATAACAAACCTCCATACGACTAGCAGTGTAACAATTCTATTACCATATCGCTTCACCTGCCCTGATTAAGACAGCTGGGTGGTATCACCAACCGTCACACCAACAGTATGTTTCAAAACCAAGTACACAATCATCTACTTGTGAATGAATCCTGAAATAGCCAGTTCTATAATATTTAACAAATAAATATGGATATGTCGTGTTCCCACTGCACATGTTTACTTTTATAAAATCATGGACACACTAATCTGTATAATTTAGTTTTGTTATCACTTCTAGTCTACTGTCTCCTTTATGCTATTCAGTAATGTGGATTGAATAAAGTTGGAAGGCTACTGTATTCGTCTGATATACTATGAGAATGAGTCTCATGGACATTTTAGTTTTAAACTAATTTGGTCCTATCTTCTAACGAAGGGTATAGAGAAATCAGAGGTGTAAGTTTCAAAAGAAAAAAAACAATACTTTGTATTGAGCATTAAAATGAGTCGTTTACTAGTTTCTGTAGGCCAGTTAAAACTTCGATGTCACATGAATTCAATGTATACAGGCTATAGAAAGTATAAGAAACGCTAAATTCCCCATTTTAAGCATTTTCTATAATGTTCAGTATGGGAAAGCCTCATATAATTACTGGTTTTCACCAGTTATCACAATCCATAGTCATACATACTCAGCACACAATCCATAGTCATACATACTCAGCACACAATCCATTTGGATATATCTTGCAGTTATGCAAGAGAACCATACGACTGAATTCATCACCAACAGCTCAGATAATGGAAGTTCAATATGATTAGCTACTTAACACATCCATTATTTTTTCCATCAACAACGGTGACGGATTTCTTTTAGAGCTCAGATAAATTTTTGATCAACGTAAGCACAAAAAATGATTGACATCACGTATGGCTTTCCGATTTAACCACGGTCGGAACTCATCGTATATCGTAGATGTTTTATTTCATGTTGCACACAACTCAAAATTTTCTAATTCACTGAATTGTTACTAACACCATCCATCAATGAATGTTGAAAGACAAGTTACCGTAACATGGTGCTCAATAGTGTGGATGAATAATTACTGAATTTTTGCAGAACCAAGCTTTTATGTAGTGGAATTAAAATGTAGATAAATAAGAAATCATTCACATTGATCTAGTGATTAATATTACATCGTAGAGAGGGACTTGTCCTTTTTGTGATCGGATACACGGGTTCACAACATGTTCGACTGTGATTTCTGTTATTTATGACATCTTACAATCATTATGTTCACTTTAATTCAACAAATGCTCTGGGTGTGATAATTATCATAGAACGCTTTCATCTTTCGTATATAACACACAAGCGAATAATGTACGTCAAAAAGTTATATACATTATTCAACTTTGGAACAAATAGACTTAATTAAAATGTAAACTATGACGGATAAAAATGGAAGGATATTGAATTTAACAGTAAACTAATTCATATATAGTACGTACTCAACGTTGTCAATATTACTAAACTATAACTACAAAGTTTATATAACACAATTTTATTTCGCTAGAAAAAAAACAATGAGAATATTGAAAGAGCGATTACTGACTTACTTAATTAGCGTTGGATGAAATTCTGTTTTTTTCTCTACGAGGCTATTAATTTTACGTTTCTATATTTGTGGTGTTGTAGTAAGCCTATTCAACTACCGTATTATTTGTGTGCTCGCTGTAATTTAGATGTAAATCTATGTGTCTTCACATTAGTTCTTTAGTCTATTCTCCCATTGGTTGCAAGAAAAGACAGTCAATAATTTATCTACAGTCCATTCACACCCATAAATATATATGGATTTTCAACGTACACAAACATATACTCACTTGTTTTTCTTGTGTGGTTGTTATCTGTACGCTTTCGGATGTTATCAATCTTTAACAATCAACTATCTCTATAACTTGTGTTCGGGCTTTTGAATAATCTCGAGTAAATCCATAATTCTTTTAGGAGATTTAGCCTGCATTAAGTATTCAGTTAACGGGATATTATTTATTGGAGGCAAATGTAGAAGAATTAACCCTTTACAGTGTAACAATTTTTTCAGAGAACCATACAACTATTCTTCGTTTGAGATAAATTCTATAAAATGAACATTTGGCAAGAATTGAATCAAATGAAACTAACCTGTAGAATTATAATAGGACTTAATTTATTGCCTACTTTTATTAGATGAACATAAATTTGATCATCATCAGAAGGGGTTTTGTGGAGATTTTAGCAATTTTATAGAGTTGAGATCATGAGTCATATTGAAGCTAGACCACCATGGAAAACCTGGAAGCACTGGACGGCCATTTCGTCCTATCATAAGATTCCTCAGCAGTGAGCATCCACGATCCCGCCTCGCGAGATTCGAACCCAGGACCTACCTTCAATTGACTCATGATCTCAACTCTATGAAATTACTAAAATCTCCACAAAACCCCTTCTGATAATGATCATGTGCTCACTAGTGACTGGCTCCATGAGGTATTTCCTGGAGTTCTAGTGAGAAGCAGTAACCAGTGGAGTTCAACCAGGTTTGTTGGGAGATATCAACTCACTGATTACATTGGTGGACGGCTGCTCAATTTCGTGGATTCGTTGAAGTTAAATATTAACACCGTTGGATGCCGGCCAGCTCAGTGGTGTAGTGGTTAAGCGCTCGCGCGCGAGACTGGTAGGTCCTGAGTTCGAATCTCGTGAGGCGGGATCGTGGATGCGCACTGCTGAGGAGTCCCGTAATAGGACGAAACGGCCGTACAGTGCTTCCACGTTTTCCATAGTGGTCTAGCTTCAATTAACCCTTCTGATATTATTTATAATTTAGTTAGAAAAGTTAAGAGAAAGAAAAATCATAAGACGTTAATCACTCTCAATAAAATGAATTAAAATATATTTTGATAAATGATATTCATACATGTGAAAGAGAGATTAATAAAGGTAACATACAAATTTTAAACATGTATTAATATGTATATAATGGCATCATAGAAAACTAGCTAAAACTGTAAAAGAAGGGAAGAAAGAAGAAAACAAGAACATGAGTGTTTACTCATGATAAAACATTGAACAGATTTACATATACCTGTTCGATGCTATTTATTACATCGATGAAAATAGAGTTTAGAAAAGTGAAATAAGGCGTGTGTATGTGTATGTAAAATAAATAATAAAATAAAATAAAGCCATAATAGAAACATTGACATTGTTTATTTTGCTAGAAAAAAAGAATGAGAGAAAGGAAGAAAAAAAGAATCATGCATACTTGAAGAATAACGAATAAAGGACAATGAGACTCTGTGCTGAAACAATACAAGTTCCACATAGTAAATATGAATACTTCATCATACATACGAAGAAATAAGTTAAGGTAATTGATCTTATAATGTATACAGAAATAATGATAATAATCAAGATGTAAGTTTGATCCATATTATTTTATTGTTGATGAGTAATACTGAACACTTTTATATAAAGACATGATGAAATTTCATTTACCTGGAATTCGAAGAGGAAGAAAAAGCAATTGGAAAAGACAAGTATTACATATGAGTAGTTATTAGTGGTTAGAGAAAAAAAACTAAAAAAAATTGCCCACCAACTACATAGAATAGAATTAGTGAATACATATAAAATTCATAATTTTAACACTGGGTGATCACTAAATTACAGTGTTATAAACAAATTTTGCTAAATGGAAAAACTGTTGATTGATAGATCGAGTGGTGGTTGGTAACGACGCGACTGAGTTATTAACTTAAACCTCCGAATGATTTGAGATCAAAGATAAGACAGACAATAGGTTTTTAAAGGTAATAAAATAACCTGCTTTTATATGAACCACTACCACGAAATAAATACAATAAATTGTGATAGGAAATTGGAGGGAGTCGGGTTGCTGGTCACTTACTAAAATCATTTAATGTTTAAATATAAGGATTTATTTTAGCCCGTCATATCAGATTAGTAATCAATATTCTATTTTTTTAAAGTCAATAGAGCTAAACAAATTTTAATTCGATCGATTTTTAATGTGGCTATCATTCCAAATGGCTCGACGTTGAGTGCATTGTGTTTTGATGCGTTAGAGAAATTAACTCTCATCGTGACAGTCAGTGATGTGAGTCTGAATCCAACGAGAAACCAACTCCTTCAATACTATAAATATCTCTTGCTGATTAGTAGGCACCCACTTTATTTATTTAAACACATAAATATTGGTACAAGGAAGCACCAGATAAATATGCGCCTCACAAATCTCATTCGATTTGTGTGAGGGCTGTGATACTGCCCAGGTGCCCAGACTGCGGCAGGTGGTTTTCTTAGGGGCCACACCCGGAGCCTTTAACCTGAATGTCTGATCCACAAGGCAGTGGAGCATCGTGAGGAGATGCAGTCCCATGGTAGCCGGTGACCAACGATTGATTCATACGCCATTTGTTCCTTCAGGATCCTGGAGCCCATGTGCACTATTGGTTTGGAATCAGGGTTTTCCAACTCCCCTAGGTGGACTCGCCTTGTCCATCAACCCGGTTAAAGGGCCGAGCATTCGCTTTTCGTCCTCTCCATTTCGTAAACAACACCTCGGACACGAGAAGTCAGCGAGTAGGACTTTCCTGGCAGAGGCTAGGTGGATATGCACCCACTACTAGGAAACCTCGGTTTAAGGCTTGTCCATTAATTATCTATAAATATCTGACATATCTAGTGTGTTGTCGATATCACAAATGTAAAGTCTAATTGCAAATATATTATTATTTTATGTAATAACTGTTGACTTTAGGATCTAAACACAAGAAAATAATTGTCTAATTTTATCGGCAGTTTTATTCTTTGAGACAATGCTAAGAAGACGTAACTATTGTCTATGAAGATTAGTTAAGCACATGAATAAATGAGCTGATAGAGTGATAAGTTAAATAGACTATGTTTAAGTGAAATGGAATAAGAACTCGTCTATCGACCATTATTGTGATTGTCGAGTAATTATGGAATCATTTTCTAAAGGTGAGTGGTGCCAGCAAAAATCTCAACAACTGAGCAGTATTATTAGCTTTTATTCAAGTGATGGTTGTTGTCTAGATCTGCCTAACTAAATATACGTATTAGAAGCATTATAGTACTATCAGGACTATTGGATTAACTGAACATTCCAACAACAGAATACGTCAGAACAACATAATATAATAAAACTTAATGTGAAAACATCGATTTCCGATATACAAACAATTTGTTAACATGTAAATTCTAGTCCTAAATACCCTTCAATGTTCCATGGAATAAAAAACCTAATTAACTAACATTCTGCATTTTGTTTTGTCAATAACAATTTTAAAAAGTCCAATCAGTCAAATAAATAACACTACATTATAAATGACCTGATCATGCATAACAGTTCCAATTATCAATTCATTTTTAAAATACTTAGACAATTTACTTTCCTCCCTCAAAAACGATAATATAAAGGTCTCATGTTTCTTAGTCACTTTGTTTATGTAATTAACTTTGAATAGGTTGTCAACACAAAGATCAAAACACCGCCTTAATGAAAACTTTGTTCATTTTGAATTTTTATTCAGTGAGGCCTACATTAAAGCAGTTAGAAACGTTAATGTTATACAGTTGAATGCGGTTTGGAAATGTATACTAATGAAAGGTGTAGTTTGTTTGATCTTTATGTGGGCTATTAAGTGTTGAACATTATTTATAGTACACTAACTAGAATAAAAGATACTAAACCGAGTCAGTTCTTAAGAACATTGGTCATATTTAAATGTGAAAAATAAAAAGTACTAACCACTTGATAACCATAATGAAGATGATCCAATGTAACGAAACTCGTTATCAAATGGAGGACGATACATTCAACAGACGTATCTTTATTTATTGGGAGAATGAAACATATAACAAAAGTAATTATTGAATATAAATAAACTTCTTTATTATGCATTGGCGCCGGGACATGGCATAACTGCGCGACGATCAAACGACACTAACAAAAAATAAAAAATAAATTATAAGACACGAGAGTTGCTTATGTGTTAAAATATGTATGTATGTATTTATTTGAACACATAAAAACTGGTAAACGAGGCACCAATACATATAGACCATACAATATTATTATTGTGTTATTATCGACTCGTGTCAGGGCTGTGATACTGTCCGTGCTCGACCGTAGCTGCTAAGATGATGTGGTGGTTGGGCTTGCCTATCGTGACACAACTGTGCTATATTGGCTGGGACATCTGAGGGCGAAGTCGTACTGCTAACTGTACAGGGGTGTGACAGCAGTAAGGTGCTTCCCTCGGACAACCATCATCTGCTGCGATGCTGCCTTCTCACAAGGAAGGAAGGGTTTAGAAAAGGTCGACCCTAAAAATGCCACACCTCACCTTATCTCACGAATTTCTGTCTCCGGTGGTAAAGCTCTTTGAAGAACGGAGCCAACGCGTCAAAAACCTCCCACAAGAAGGCTGTGAGTGACCGGCCTCAAGCAGTTGTCCCTCGGGCTCTGCGGTCACCCTCCCAGGTCGTTAAGACCAACACTAATCCTACTTCCTTTTCAGACCCCTCAAGAAATACCCTTCCACAGTGTGGGCAGCCGGGAAGTGATATCAGCCTTCATACCCGTAACTGCACACGAGAACAAGTTGGTCTATGAGCTGTCCGACTAAACGGATCAGTAAGGATCCGGAAAGATAGGGAAACTCGTCGTTGCCTTTTCGTCGTCTCTGCCTACTCTCCCACTGACTGCAGTTCAGATGATGTAAAAGATGATTTTTACAGAAAGCTGTCCGACCTTCTCAGAAAAGCTAGGCGCTCTGATGTAGTAATAATGACTGGTGATTTTAATGCTCAAGTAGGCAAACTAAGCAAAAGGGAAAGACATCTGATTGGATTTTATGTTATCGTGGCTCCGAGAACAGATAATGGCGATCGTCTGTTGCAGCTATGCTCAGATAACCGCCTATTTCTTGCAAATACTAACTTCAAGCACAAGGAAAAACATTTTTTGACATGGCGACCCCCGAATTCGTCCCAACGTTGGACCCAACTAGACCACATCGCTATCAGCCACCGATAGAAGGGCTCGATAGAAGACTGTCGATCATTCTGGAGCACATGCTTAGATTTAGATTATGCTCTAGTGCAAACCAGAGAGACCAGTCAAGGACAAAGAAGGAAAGACAATCACTGAGATTCAAGAACAGAAGAAAAGATGGGCAGAATACTTCGAGGAACTGCTGAATAGACCAGCCCCATTGAATCCACCGAACATCGAAGCAGCCCACACAGACCTTCAAATAGATGTCACTCCACCAACGATCGAAGAAGTCAAGATGGCCATCAGACAAATCAAAAGTGGGAAGGCGGCAGGACCTGACAATATACCAGCAGAAGCACTGAAGTCAGACATTGAAATAACTGCAAACATGCTTCACCTTCTATTCAAAAAGATTTGGGAAGAGGAACAAGTGCCAACGGACTGGAAAGAAGGATATCTCATCAAGATACCAAAGAAAGGAGATCTGAGCCAATGTGAGAACTACAGAGGTATCAGCTTGTTATCAGTACCAGGAAAAGTTTTCAACAGAGTGCTGCTGAATCGGATGAAAGACGCAGTAGACGCCGAACTAAGGGATCATCAGGCTGGATTCCGTAAGGATCGGTCGTGCACAGACCAGATTGCGACACTACGGATCATCGTTGAACAATCAGTTGAGTAGAACTCATCACTATACGTCAACTTTATTGACTGAGAAGGCGTTTGACAGCGTGGACAGGAGAACATTATGGAAACTTCTTCGACACTATGGAGTTCCTGAAAAGATTGTCAACATTATCCAAAACTCATACGATGGATTACAGTGCAAAGTGGTGCATGGGGGACAGCTGACAGATGCATTTCCAGTAAGGACCGGAGTCAGACAAGGCTGTCTACTCTCCCCATTCCTCTTCCTTCTAGTGATTGACTGGATTATGAAGAATTCGACATCTGAAGGGAAATACGGAATACAATGGACAGCTCAGAATCAATTAGATGATTTGGACTTCGCAGATGACCTAGCCCTCCTCTCTCATACACACGACCAAATGCAGATGAAGACAGCAAATGTAGCAGCAGCCTCCGCATCGATAGGTCTCCACATTCACAAAGGAAAAAGCAAGATTCTCAAATGCAACACGGAGAACACCAACCCAATCACACTTGACGGCGAAACTCTGGAAGAGGTGGAAACATTCAAGTACCTGGGGAGCATCCTTGATAAACAAGGAGGATCGGATGCAGATGTAAAGGCGAGGATTGGCAAAGCAAGGGCAGCATTTCTACAATTGAAGAACATATGGAACTCAAAACAACTCTCAACTAATTTCAAGGTCAGAATCTTCAATACGAACGTCAAGACAGTCCTACTGTATGGAGCTGAAACGTGGAGAACTACTACGGCCATCATCAGGAAGGTACAAGTATTTATAAACAGTTGTCTACGCAAAATACTCAACATCCACTGGCCGGATACTATCAGCAACAGCGTTTTATGGGAGAGGACAAACCAGCTTCCAGCTGAAGAGGAAATTAGGAAAAGACGTTGGAAGTGGATCGGACATACATTAAGGAAATCACCAATGTGCATCACGACTCAACTTGGAATCCGGAAGGGAAGCGGAAAAGAGGAAGGCCAAAGAACACACTACGCTGGGAAATAGAAGCCGATATGAAAAGGCTGAATAGTAACTGGAAAGAACTGGAAAGGAAGGCTCAGGACAGAGTTGGATGGAGAATGCTGGTGAGCGGCCTATGCTCCTCGACGAGGGGTAACAGGAGTAAGTAAGTAAAGTAAGTCAGTGCGAGCACGTATCTGTCCGAACGCAGGACAGACGCTGCAAGGAAGCCTCTATAGGTTCTACTTAATGATAGGCAAGCTAAGAACATATTTCATGAACAACTAGAAAAACAGTTAGGCAGTCATGTAAGTTGGGCCAACCCCGAGGCAGCGTGGGATGACATTCGAAAAGTTGTGGAAACAGAAGTGATATCAGCTAGTACGGTAAACCATAAGGTTAGGGAGAAACAATGGATCTCAGCAACATCTACCGCACTGATAGATGCTTGAAAACTCATCCCACCTGGTTCTGAACATAACGAAGAGCGGAGTCAGCTTAAGCGCAGGCTAATAAGAAGCCTATGCAATGATCACGAACAGTGGCGGGTAGCGAAAGCGAGATGGAAAAGACAGCGCCAATAGGTAACAGAAGACAACTATTCAGACTTGTTAAAGAAACCGGTGTTAGGAACCCAACTATCAGCGAAACTATCTCGGAAAAAGATGGACATATTATTCATTCTCAATCCAGGAGATTGGATTGGTGGGCAGAACACTTTAGGGATCAGTTCAAATGACCTTCAGCCATATATATATATATATATATATATATATATATATATATATATATTGGAAGAACAAGATGATTTCTTGTTCAAAGCATTATTCAGATTGATTAAACGTATCACAAGTTTGCTGGTTAGATCACAAATAGGTCTAAAGTGTATTATATTTAGTAAAGTTTCGGCAGTTGAATAATACCATGCTGATAGAACTAAAAAAAGGGTTAGAAGCTCTAATATATAAGTCCCTACTTTGGTATGGCAGTGCATTATAGCCTGATTAAAAAAGTTTAGGTCATCAAAGACAATAGTAACAGTATGGAGATTCTTGAATAAGATAACTGGTATAGTTGTGTGTGATAATTCATAACAATAAACGTTGGATTAAACGTGCATCAAAACAACATTGTATGATGAATAAAATAATACTGGATGTTAAGAGAAAAATAGATTTCTAAACACAACTTAAATCGTACATAAATCATTGATGATGTTAGGCATATAAAAGAAAATAATCAGCATTTATAAACTGATATGTCAATTAAGACTGGAATCAGTACATAGACGATTTACACTTCGTACTCTTGGAACTGATAGTGCTTTGACATATAATTCTAGGTGTATTGAACTCGGGTTTGACCCTCTGTGGAAGAGGAGACTCAAACTTTACCTCATCTTCTTTTTCAAAATACTTAACAAACTATCCTTCACATCCAACCAGGCGATTTAATATGCTGAAGCTTCACATTACAACATTCGTAACTCCTTATCTTTAGCGAAACAAACATACTCCAGATCTTCCCTCTATACGAATTACTTTACCTGTAAGTTTTCTTGACTCTGGAATAATCTACCGCAAACTATCCGTACGTCAAACTCTCTCCCATTGTTTGTTCGCTCCATTAATGCATATTGCTCCTCTGAAAATGCATTAAATGCTGTAGCGCCTGTAAGTGTATCTTACTCCACAAGTGAGATTATCGGAGCTTTAAATGTTTAACCATTTACTTGCTGTCACTTTACATTAACACTGTCACTAGCAACTCTTACACGTTTGAATAATATCTAACATGAACAAAGGTAACCTGACAGACATGTTTTGGTAATCATTGCTTTGTTGTTCCGTGCTCTTTACTTTTATTTTACTTTCTCTAGTTGTAGATAATTATCAATAACTCGCTCTGGCACTGGAAATAACCTTACAGAACAACGTTCATAAATCATCAGGCTATCCACTTAAGAAAAAATTAAAAGTTCCCTGGTGTTGCATTGGCTTGCCGTGATATATGCCATATATAAACTACTTATCAATTACTAAACCAGCAAACATAAAACTTTCTTACATTTTATGTTTGTTCTCTACATTAAATATTGCTTTTTATATCAATCTGATCATGCCTGTAAACTGGTGTGAATTCTGTAAATATTATTTTCAGAATATAAATTATTATTATAAACAACATAACTAAATATAACGACAACAACTACTATTCTGTAAAATTAAAAAAATAAAGTAGAGATTATGCCTCACTTAAGTTAACTAAACGCCCAATAATCAGTAAAGTTTGTGTTTGTACATCTATGAACATAGAGATGTGTATAAATGCTGTCTTATTTCGTGAGAATGATATCAATAGACAAGCGAAATTATTGTTCGCATTATAAAATACATTAATTACGTGAATGTTAAGTAATCAATCTAACCCCACAGTGATAAATAGTAAACGCGCGTTGTTGAAAAATTCCAGAAAGTTACTTAGCATAGTCTGAATCTTAATACTATCTTTTTGGATTGATACTCCATGATGTAGAGAATCGTTTTTTTTTCGTTTACAAAATTCAATGATCTTGAGAACAAAACAAATAATCAACGTACAAAGAAAGTGAGGGACTGTTATAAACAAATAATACTTACTGTGACATTTGAAGCAATTGTTCCACAACAAAATAAAAATGTACGTGTATTTGTTTCCAGTAGATTTGATGGTGAATAATAAGCCCATATATATGAGCTGAATAGAAGTAGTCCTACAGGTATAAGAGGCCTAATTACACCCCATAATCCAAGACCACGATGCCATGGTTGTTTATTTGGACAAGTTCTTATAATATTCCATATTGTAATTGGTATATGAACAAAGTAAAATGAAACTGTTCACAATTCATCAATAAAAAATAAAATGAGGGTAAATTAATTTACTTAAGTTTTATTACATTTAAAAATAAAATTATACTTTGGAATAGTAAACATTCATCACAATGAAGAAAACAGATATTTCAGTTGATTCTTTTAAAAGTTTATTGATGATTAGAACTTTACACAAATATATATTTCAATTAGTAGTTTAATAAAAAAAAGTTTAGAGTGGGTTCTAGCAACAAATAAAAGATTAGAAAATATAAACCGATTTATCCATAGTTTGCAACAACTGACTAATATTTATTGAATTTTACAACTGTTTTATGATTATTTATGTTTTAATTTTGGGGTTGTAGAGTCTGTTGAACATCATTTAAATCATGAACCGATTCAATGTTAGACCACTATTGAAAATCAGGAAGCACTGGACGGCCATTTCATTTTAGTATGAGACTCCTCAGAAATCGTACCCACGATTCCGCACGTGGGATTTGGACCCAGGACAGACAGTTACGCGCAGAGGACAATGGAAAGTGGTTGCGTGACATAGTGCATGAATCCTAACCAAGAAGTCTGTACCACTCGATATGAATTAAGCCAACATTCGATAATTTCACAGACCGATTTCATGTTTTGGTTTGATTGTCCCTAGTTTTTAAATGACTTCTATTCCCATGAAATAGATTAGACATATCCCAATAACTACAGTTTGTGAAAATGCATGGCTTTGTCAATTGATTTATCATCTTTACCAACACTTTATGCCTGACCTTATCAATCTAAGGCTTGATTTTACTAGTAAAAAAACACTAGTCTTCCAAAAATAAAGTCACATGTTCGAAAAATGATCTGTATTATTTCGGATTAGACAGCCGGATAGTGTTAATAGCGATTTAAAGCTGTGTGTAAGAATACGCACTTGGTCAACCAGTTACACAGTACAATTCACCATTTTTCAAGGATATACAAAAGCAAATAATTCAAGCATTGCTCAATATTAAAGAGGAAGAACATATATGTAAAATTTCAGCGATTTTTAAATTTATATGGAGGTTCTTATATATTGCTAGTCATCCGAGAAACTGATCGTATGAAATTTTGATTTTCATTACTCAGTCGTCGATTAGAAAACTAATTAACTGTCGTTTAAACAATTCAAGACCATATACGAACTTAGTTATAGACATAATATAGGAACAAACAACTGACTACTCAAGTACACTGGATATCACAAATATGTTGATGGATGATGTAAATACCTTCTAATTAAAGAATCAATTAGCAAATAGAACTTATACATCATAACTAGAAATATTCTACTGGTAATGTCTCTGAAAACTTGAAACTAACTGTTCGATTAAGCCTAGATTCTATAAAACAGATACATAATTAGCTAAGTAAAATTAGTTAGTAGAAATCAAGTTGGACACTCAAAAAATAAATATGAATTTTTACATTTGTGTGTAAACATGGTCAAAATAAAACTTGTCTATATTTAATGTAAAGTTTGCACAGAATCAACAATAAATAAAAAAAACAAGGTCATACACACAGATCAGTGAGTGTACATGGATATAGGAACTACGTTATCAAGCTTGTTTACTACCACATAAACATAAATCTGTAACTGGCTACATTCCAATGTTGTGTACAATATCCATATTCATGTACAACTGTCTTGATATATATATATATATATATATAAAAATTTTAGCGCTACTTACAGAAGAGTGTGAACTTGAAAATAGCTGCAGTTGACCAACCGAATAAAAGTGGTTTCATAAAAATAGTAGGTGATCGCCAATAGGCTAGTAGGAATACCAGAGCAACCATCTAAAATTTGAAAAGACAATAATATCAACAACAACAAATTATAAAATATTCTCTCCCTGTTATCAGTTTACATGTGTATATCATTGTTGTTTAACTAACTCATTTGAAATAAATAGATCGATGAACTGACTAAAGGATTTTAATCCAAACGAACATATACACAATAACTATGAGGTACGTTTGTAAATTGAGGCGAAAATACCAATAAACAAATTCTGTTTTTAATTCAGTTTATTTATTGATGGCACTCCAGAAATTTCAATCTAGTTCGAGTGGTAGGTGGTTAAACAACTCGATTTCGAATTGCAGTAACATGTGACTTAGATTACTGAAGTATGGTTGTGAACAGCATTAAAAACACTAAATTTTTTTAAAAGGATCTTATGATAAATAAGACTGATCAACTATGGTAGTGGGACATTCATGAAAAAGATTAATCTAACGAATTTATATTAATGTGAACAAGCGAAATTCAAAATGTTCACAATTATTACAATAATATGTAATATGTTCAGATTTAACTGGATTATTATATCGAGAGAAAATATTCAAACCAACCAGCTAAAAGAAGTCTTACTAACCATGTACAAGTACTCAGTTTGTAGCTATACTGTATATGTGAGTTACAGATAAAACGTGGTTACTTTAATTGAATTAAGAGGACCGAGGAACCAATTTGTGACATGCTGGCTTGAAGTCAAGTGTTTAAGGCACTATAACCAAACGAACGGAAATATCTTTGATTATATAACCTATAACCAATTCAATAATCTTACTTACTTATTGAATTGGTTTACTTACTAAAATAGTAGTTTACAGTGATATAAAATTGAAGTGACATTGTGTCATACATCGTTTATACAGATCAAATCATTGAAAGCAATTCATGTAATAACCCATCAAAATAATGAAAAATATTAAGAACAGAATAATTAAATGTTGTAATAATAACTGGGTAAAGTTTGCCAGAAAAATTAATTTGAAAGGAGTTGAAAAAAAAGAAAATAGACTAAAGAAGACAAAAAGGTTGAGACCACGGTAAAATAAAGGACTGAATTTACTGTTTTCGTATGGACAAAATACGTTCGAATTTGAGGATAGCTAGACTTTTCGGCAAAAACACAAGTTTTTAATATGTATTCTCTTTATATCGATTCCTCTAAATATATGAATGATTACGAAAAAAGGTTTTGACGAAGCAGTACGATCAGAATTAACTGGATGATTCAAGATTGAATTTTTGTCGTCCTTTAGATAGCCAAACCAACACCAAGGTTAGAATTTTCAATACAAATGTCAAGACAGTTCTTCTGTATGGGGCAGAGACGTGGAGAACTACGAAAGCCATTATCCAGAAGATACAAGTGTTTATTAACAGCTGTCTACGCAAGATACTTCGGATCCGATGGCCAGACACTATCAGCAACAAGTTACTGTGGGAGACAACAAACCAGATTCCAGCGGAGGAAGAAATCAGGAAGAAGCGCTGGAAGTGGATTGGGCACACTTTGAGGAAATCACCCAATTGTGTCACAAGACAAGCCCTCACATGGAATTCTGAAGGTCGAAGGAGAAGAGGAAGACCAAAGAACACATTACGCCGAGAAATAGAGACAGACATGAGAAGAATGAACAAGAACTGGAAAGAACTAGAAAAGAAGGCCCAGGACAGAGTGGGTTGGAGAAAGCTGGTCGGCGGCCTATGCTCCATTGGGAGTAACAGGCGAAAGTAAGTAAGTAAGTTTAGATAGCCAAAAATGTGTTTCGAAAGAGCTCGTTTGGTATGGTCACTGTGACCTCCTTCACAATAAGAAGTAAATTAATATAGGTACATTGATTTGCTTTAAAGCACAAGCTTGTCCTTCACACAACTGTGAATCAAAGATCGACTAGAGACGAAGTTTAGCGGAATAGAATGCTTTCCGGAGATCTTGAAAGTCTGTTGTCCAGAATCTCTGCTGTAAGATCATTAGACTGAATATTCATGAAGAAGATCCTTCTTAGTGGTGGAGATAAGCTTTCATATTTTTGTTTCTGGTTCAAATTTTTCCCAGTGAATCTGGTAGATATCTGTTGTTGATAAGTATTTGTCATAGTCTATCAAGTTTGATGTCATTTATGTCATTTGGATAGATTCGTCCAACTTTCGTAAACAGAAAGTGGATCAGGTTTCTCTTTACATTTGGTGGGATCGGACATTGAAAATTCGTGTACGAGTTATTCCATGTAAACGTCTTATGTATAGATTTTTGTAGTAAATTATCAGGTCTTTTTTTAACAAAGCAACCAAAACTCTGGATTCAACTCGGATTCCACTGTGAACGTAATGAACTGATGGCAGTGATTGGGCTTTTCTAGGATGTTGAAATCAACATTTTTGTCACAAAAAATGGAAGTACCATCTAAATATCTTTTAAGGAAAGAAAGTGTCAGTTGTTGGTTTGAGTATAATGCTTTTAAGATTGAGAATAAAACAGTCAGCTAGATATGGACAGAATGGTAACCTCATCATTACACAGTCGGTTTGGCCTATAGAGCTCATAATTAAAAATTTGATTGAACGTTGAAAGTGAATCAGAGTAGTAATTCCTTCAAATAGCATGTAGGAACACTGAAATCAAGGCTTTCGTTTCCAATATAAATACATAGTAGGCAAATTGTTTTCTTGAGAGGCCATCTGTAATAAGGTAGGTAATATCTAATGAAAGTACCTTTTTAGTTTCGTTGACATTGGGCATTAATCAATAAAATCAAACAGATAAGCCGTGATTTTTCTGTAGAGTTGCCTTTTGACTGATCATACGATTCCAGTTAGCTATTTAGCAATAGCATTATATAGTCAGCTACTCATATCTAATGTAAGACTTTAAAGAATATCATTCTTACGATCTTTAAAAAAGTCATACAATCGCAGAATAACGAATTCAGATGATTTAGGTTATTCACAGAGGTCTCTATAGAAAACGGATTCAATTTAAATAAAACCAGAACAAATATTGATACAGAATAATATGAATTCATTATATTTCGTGGTTTCTCATCAGCTGCTTACAACCAAATCGCGATAAAAAAAACTTGAACCGGATCTATGTATTCAAAAAGAGACAGTAATAAACGTATTACTACCCTGGTAATCCAATTTTTTATGTTTCTGGTCGAAAGTTTTATTTTGTTAATATCTAGTTTATATTATATTCCTCTCTCATTACCTAATTATTAAACCACCCTTCCACTCACACATTTCCGCTCACTTGATTCCCTTAAAATAATGTGAACTTTTCTATTCAATTATTACGTAACCCATCCTATTTGTTCTTAATTCCATGAATCCTTTATTACCTCTAAAATTACCACACAATTTATTTTATCTGTCACTGAACTCCACTCAAATATTTCACCACCCATCCTTTATGCTGCCTTGATTCTAACACCTAATAACCTCTAACCTATTCTTGCATATTATATATATATATATATATATCATTGATATCCTTATCATTGATAACCTTTTGTTATTCCAATCCTTTACATTCAATTATGTCAATTGTTCCACACTATTTATTATATTAATGCTAAAATTCCAATACATATTTGGTTGTAAGTAGCTGACGAGAAACCACGAAATATATGGAATTCATATTATTCTGCATCAATATTTGTTCAGGCTTTATTTGATTTTATAAAGGAAACTAATTGCATGAAGGATTTCAGTTAATGTTTGCTGTGATTGCTCCTTAACAGGTTTTTGAATTCTTTTCCTTCAGAAATTTGTTGGTATCATTTGAAATGAAAGGGTACTTTTCAAGTTTAGTCTTTTCGATTTGTGATAAAAATGCTAGTATCCTTATTCACATTTGATTGGTTACTTGAATAAATTAATACATGCATTTGTGCATGGACATGTATGATTTTACTCAAGAACACATGAGTTAATACCACAAAGAAATCCCAGTTATATAGTCAGTCAGCGACAACGTAGGACCAGGCACATATATGCATCGGTCCAAGATGCCATACCTCGTTAGCACAACAAGATCAACACCGGATTCATAGAAGTAATTAATTTAGTGGTGGTGGTAGTATATAAAGAAAGGTTGTATATAAGGATGTAGTATAGGAAGGGAAAAAAGTTATGACGCAATTTTAATCTCAAGGTTTAAGGGAAGATAAAGAGTGTATACACCTAAGCCATTGTGATCGATTCTGAGCCATGTCACACAGTCTTCAACTATTGGTTACGATAGTCACGCGGACCCCAACCAGGTAGTCTGCATCTACCAACATAGCTCAGACTAAAAGTTAGTGACTTCAAGCACTGATGCCATGTTTTGGCCGCCCCTAACTCTCTTCCAACCATCCCCTACACTGGTCAACATTGCGCGTCGTGGTAATCGGTGTTCAGGCATACGTAACAAGTGGCCCAACCATCTCAGTCGATGAAGATTCATCACCTCATCAACTGATTTGCCATCATTTCCTAATACCCTGCGTCTAACCTCACTATTACTTACCCGGTTATCCCAGCACATGCGAGCAATATTTCTAAGGCATCTGTGGTCAAATACTAGTAAACTACGAGTATCTTCTACTCTGAATGGCCATGTTTCGCAGCCGTAAAGTAGAACAGAGCGAACTGCTGTGCAGTATACTCGTCCCTTAATTGATAGACGGATATCTCGTCTTCGCCATAGGTGACGTAAGTTGGCAAAAGCCAAACGAGCTTTTTGAATCCGTGCTGAGATTTCGTCTGACACCAACCCATTAGGGCTGATCAGACTTCCAAGATAAGTGAAGTTGTCGACGCGTTCGACTACTTCACTCCCTATCCTTAGTTCGAGTGTTGACGCAGGCCAGTCCTGGAGTAACAATTTACATTTGGATGGGGAGAAACGCATCCCAAACATCCTGGCATTATTAATCAGTTCTAACAGAAGACTCTGCATTTTGCCAGCGTCTTCACCAAACAGGACTATGTCATCTGCGTATTCTAAGTCGATAAGTGAACCTCCTGGTAGAAGGTCAATTCCTGAAAATTCAGTCGAAGAGAGTGTTATTTCCAGCAACAGGTCTATAATGAAGTTAAACAAAAATGGGGATAGTGGACAGCCTTGTTTGACACCACTTGAGGTTGTAAAATCATATGACAGTTCGCCATAAGCTCTCACTCGACTGGTAGTGTTCGAGTAAAGAGCCTTCACAAGGTTTGTGTACTTCTCAGGTACACCTTTTAATGACAGACACTACCACAGAACCTCTCGGTCTACAGAGTCAAATGCTGTTTTCAAGTCAAGAAAAACTATCATTGTCGGACGCCGATAAGCATGTCTGTGCTCTAAAACGTGACGAATGGTGAATATGTGGTCGATACAGCCACGACCAGGTCTGAAGTCAACCTGATTTTCTCGTGTTTGCAGTTCACGAGTCTTAGTTAGGCGCCCGATAATTATTGAGGCTAGTATTTTAGATGCTATGTTAGTCAGACTAATCCCTCTATGGTTATCACGGGATGATTTCGGCCCCTTCTCATATATTGGGACAATCAGAGATTGTGACTAGTCAGATGGGATTACGTCCGTCTCCCAAATTTTAGCCAGAATATTAGTCAACCTAATCGCTAAAATTGGACCACAATATTTAAAGACCTCTGGAGCCAATACATCTGGACCAGCTGCTCTTCCTCGTTTCAGATTACTTATAGCCTTTTGAACTTCAAGTAGGGTCGGGGGGCCTACTTTAATGTTCCATTCAGGTTTTCTGGGAATAGTGGGTAGTTGTGCAGTAGCTGAAGGCCAGCTAAACTGCTCCTTAAAGTGCTCCGTCCATCAATCTAAACGTTTAGGTTGAGAGCAGATAAGGGTTCCGTCTTTTTCGGAGATTGTCTCACTTACACTTGACTTCTTAATCCCGGTTTCTTTTATTAGTATGAATAGTTGCCTGGTGTTCCCTACAGCCGCTGCCTTTTCCATCTCTTTTGCTTTCGTTGCCCACCACTGCTCACGATCGTTCCTTAGACTTTTAGTTAACCTAGATCTAATTTGTTTACGCTCTTCGTCGTGTTCAGAGCCTGATGGGATGAGTTTACGCGAATCCATCAGTGAAATAGACTTAGAAGAAATCCACTGGTTTTTTGAAACCCTATGGTTAAAATAACTAATAGATGTTACTGCTGTTTCCACAGCTGTTCGTGTGTCTTTCCAAGCAGCATCTGGGTCAGTCTCGTTTACAGAACTGCCTAGATGTTAACTCAGTTGTCTCTGTAATTCGCATTTGGCTTTCTCGTCCTCCAGTTCAATCCTAATGGGTCTTCTTAGTGTACTTTTCCTGCGTCCATTGAGGCGCAGACAAATGCGCGCTCGTATTAAAGCGTGATCAGAGTCTAAACAAGTAGTGCCTGTTCTGCCCTTGTACTTAATGCTATGCCTACACCTGCAAGTCCACGAGAACTAGCCAACGGGTCGCCAGATACACGGAGGGTGTATTTCGTTGGCTCTCCATTTTGGTGAGGTGAGGTCAAGTGAATGACCACACTAGGATCCTGTATGCGTGTTTCGGAGACACAGCATACATCAATGGTACGAGGTTCTAGGGTTTTAGCTAAGGAGGTCTGTTGACCGATTTGACTTAAAGTACGTACGTTGAAGGCTCCAATGTGTAGTTTGGAGCGAGGTTTTAGTAGACCTGGGACAGCGTTTCGCGCACTAGAATCGTTGGCCATGGTGACACTTGGGGAGGAAACCGGAACAGGAAGTTTAATGTTGAATGTCATGGTAGAAGGAATAGTAGGAATTGAAGAAGGAGATTGATTATGAATACAGTGGTCTTGAGTGCTGTTAGAGGTATGAGGGCAGTTATCACTTCCCGGTTGCCCACACCGTGGAGGGGTTCTTCTAGGGGTACCTGAAAAGGAAATTGGGTTAGAAGTGGTCTTAATGACCTGAGAGCGTGGCTGCAGTGCCCAAGGGACAACTGCTTGAGGTCGGTCACACACGACCTTTTTGTGGGTAGTTTTTGTGTTAGCTCCGTTCTTCAAAAAAAAAACCTTACCGCCGGAGACGGATATCCGTGGGATAAGGCGAGGTGTGCATTTTTAGGGCCGACCTTTTCTAACCCCACCCCTCCTTGTGGGAAGACAGCATCGCTGTCATGCTGGTTGTCTGAAGGAAACACCTTACTGCTGTCACACCTCTGTACAGTCAGCAGTACGACTTCGCCTTCGGACCTTGGGTTTGCTGCTTTTAGTCTCACCGCTCTTCAAACGACCTGCCTGGCATGGTAGGACCTCGAGGAACGATTGTTCCAGCCAGTATAGCTCGACTGAATCATCACGATAGGCAAGCCCGACCACCACGTCAAGGTAGCAGCATAAGAACTATGCGTTATTATTATTATTAATGTTTAAATTTTGAACAGATACATTTATCTTATAATGGTGTTTCTTTTAAGATACAATGATAATAACTAATTAGAACATTAATTCTCTGTTTTAAAAAGTAAACAGATAACGATTTTAAGGGTAGAAAATTTTACATAAACAAACTTGTTTAGTGCATTTCCTTATAAAAATGTACTTTTAGAATATTATTATTTTGTCGCCAAACATCAAATGATTATAGTTAAATAATTAATACATGTATAGTTGAATTTATGAGCCGATTAAAGCTAAACCACCATGGAAAACGTGAAAGCATCGTACGGCCATTCTGTCATAATATGGGACTCCTCAGGAGAGCCCATTCACGATCCTGCGCGCGCGATTCAAATCCAGGACCTTCGGTCTCGCGCGCGAACACTCGACCTCTAGACCACTGAGCCGGCATCTAACGGTCTTAATGTTTAACTTCAACCAATCCACGTAATTCCGCGACTGTCCACCATGGTCTTCAGTGAGTAACTGCCTCACAACAGACACGGTTGAACTCTACTGGTCACGAGTGCTCATTAGAACTCCAGAAAATACCTCTTGAAACCAGTCACTAGTGAGCACATGATGATTATTATCAGATTGGGGGGGGGTTGTGGAGAATGTAGTATTCTAATAGTTGAATTCATGAGTCGATTAAATCCAGACCATCATGGAAAACCTGTAAGTGATCTAGAGGTTAAGCGTTCGTGCGCGAGACTGAAGGTCCTGGATTTGAATCGCGCGCGCAGGATCGTGGATGAGCTCTCTTGAGGAGTCCCATACTAGGACGGAATGGCCGTCTGACGCTTTTAAGTTTTTCCACGGTGGTCTGGCTTTAATCGACTCATGAATTCAGCTATTAAATTACTACAATCTTCACAAACCCTGCAATCTGATAGTACATTTATATGTATTTGATCATGGTCTACGACTACATGATTTAAATGAAAAATGAAAAAACAAACATGAAACAATTATCGACAGTACGATTAATATTACGGTGTAGTATCTAATTAATTGTAGATTTAAGCAACAGACCGGTAGGTCTGTAGACGCAGTTGAATTCACACTATTTACTTAGCTGTTAGTTTTTGAGGATGTGAAATCTTAAATTACAACTCGTGAAAATCAAATCAATGTTGATTAGGTTAAAATTCTGTTACAGTAAATTATTATTTCATATGAACATTATTTATTGGAATTTTAATACATTTCAAAGATATTTTGAGTTAGTGATAAATACTCAGTATTATATTTTTTTCACTGATATGTACTTGAGAAATTTCCATATCTTTCTGGTTGGTTACACAAAATCAATATTACATAGCTTCATCTACAAAATTGGTGTTTTTATTCTAGTGAGAAAGGGAAAAGAGCAATAGAGAGTTAAATTTTATATCATGGTATTGATATTGGAGTAGCCCGAATGATTAACATAATGAACGAAAGTATCATAATTAATGACGAAACCACGTTGCAAATTGGATTGATTTTACTCAAAGCTTTTTATTTTAATGTATCATTATTGATAACAATTTAAGATGCTTTAACTTGTTAGTTATAGAGCACCCAGTAATTACTAATCGATTAAATAGAGATGGGAGTTTACAAGTTGGAACAGTTGACTCCTAATGATCGGTTAGTAAAATCGAGCTGTGTTTCATCAACTACAGCCTCAGTGACCAGCCAATTAACATAAAGGTATAAATTAATGAGTACTCGGTGAATCAGAGAAACACTAAATAGATAAACATATGAAAACATATAGATTGCTTACGATTTGACTTGTATCGAATGTCCAAGGTAGAAATAAGGTGCCCGTAATGTATTTTTCCCAATGGGATAGAAGAAAAGTGATAAATAATACCCATTGCCCCATAAACATTTCTCTCACAGTATAAATATGACCTAACAATGAGAACATTGATCCAGCAAGAAAAAGACACGCCCACGAATCGCATCCGTGGTCAAATAATTCGCCAAGAGCCGATGATGACCTAGTTCGACGAGCCTGTTTTCCATCTGTACCATCTAAAGTGAAAAATTATTGTTCAGTTTATAATGTGAGACAAACCTAAAGTATGAGCAATGAATACAAGAAAAGAGGTAACAAGCCAAACCCAATTAGGAACATTGACTGTTGAGAAGAAAGTGGGGTTATAGCAGCACAATAGAAAATAATGGGTCACAGTTAGGAGGAAACCAGTGAATGTTATAAGGTTTGGAGCTAGCCAAACAGGGTAAAACTATAAGTAAACATAAGAACTTGTTAATAGATAGATGAATTATACTTTTGCCAACCAATTCCAGAAGGGATGCATAACATATGTTGAAAAAGGTGAATTATCCACACACGAGTATTTATAATTTTTCAATCCAGATATCATTTGATCAGTTAGTTGGTGCATTTTTCTTCCAAATTTGAAATTTGTATCCCAGTGACTTGATCGATATGAAAGACTGAAATACAAAACGTTAAAAAAGGATATTACGAATGTAGATACTAGGAGAATAGTAAGGTTTCTTAGAACTAACAAAACAGAAAGCAACACCCTAATCAAGATAAGCTAAACTTTCAACCAACCTTTTCTTTTCATTATATATTAGATTCTAACAATATCATGAGATGCAATATAGACGGTAACAAGAAAAGGTTGCCACATTTATTGTTGACACAACTTATAGTTTACATGAACCCACTACTTATTTACGTACGCCTTTTACCCATCGTGGAGGACCATAGGTCACCCACCAACATTCTTCATTCAACTCTGTCCTGAGTAATCCTTTCCAGTTACTACTCATTATTTTCATGTCTGCTTCTAATTACCGGACTAATGTACTCCTTGGTTTTCCTCTTTTTTCCCTCCAGGATTCCAAGTTAGAGATTGCTTCGTGATGCACTCTAATGAGTTCCGTAATGTATGTCCCATCCAATTCCACAATCTTTTCCTAATTTCTTCTTCGTCTGGAAGTTAATTTGTATTCTCCCACAGTACACTATTGCTGGTGGTATTCGGACAACAACGGACATTGAGTAGACAATTGTTTATAAATACCTGTACCATTTTGATGATGGCTGTGGTAGTTTTCCAAGTTTCAGCTCCATCCAGTAGAACTATCTTGACGTTCCTATTGAAAATCGTAATTTTATTGTTGACTGAAAGTTGTTTTGAGTTCCAAATGTTGTTCAACTGTAAGAATGCGACCCTTGCCTTGTCAATCCTCGCCTTTACGTCTGCATCAGACCCTCCACGTTCACCGATGATGCTGTCCAGATAAGTGAATGTTTTCACCTCTTCCAGAGTTCCTCCGTAGAGTGTGATTGCGTTGGTGTTCTGTGTTGCATTCCAGGATCTTGCTTTTCCCCTTATATATATTAAAACCTACTGATAAAATGGCATCTACTACACTGGTTGTCTTCATCTGCATTTGTTGGTGTGTATGGGATCGAAGAGCTAAGTAATCTGTAAAGTCCAAGTTGTCTAGTTGCATCCAAGCTGTTTATTGTATTCCGTGCTTCCCCTCAGATGTGGAGGTCTTCCTAATCCAGTCAACTACCATAAGAAAGCTAAAGGGAGAGAGAAAGCAACCATGTCTGACTCCGGTCCTTACTTGGAATCCGTCTATCAGCTGTCCTCCATGCACGACTATGCAGTGTAGTCCGTCGTATGAATTTTAGTTGATGATTTTCCTAGACATACCGTAGTGTTGGGGAAGGTTCCATAAGGTTCTCCTATCCATGCTGTCAAACGCCTAATAATCAAGGAAGTTGATTTATAGTGACGAGTTTCATTTAATTGATTGTTTCACGATTATCCGTAGTGCTATTTGAATTAGTATGCTGGAATCCAAGTTTATCAAAGTAGATATTGCTTCATCACTTCTCCTTCACGGGAAATAAACGGACCACTTGACAGCAGTAAACAGCAATATAAATGTGTCATTGTATAAAATCATTTAGAGAGATAAAGCGCCACTTTTACCCCTTATTTACGCATACTACGTTGCTTAGAGCACTAGTGTTAGTTGTGAGGTAACCGGCTATTAGCTGATATTAGGACATTTTGTTATTGGTGATTGACAGATGACAGGATTTCCTATATATGGATGGAGAGATGAAACACAGAAACTACTCTATGGTTGATTAACACCACAACCAACCATAGAATAGTTCTTCTAAGTGTTTCATCTCTCGATGTATACCACGTTTAAGGATATTTGTAGGTTACTTGTATCCTGTGATAGGTGTCTTCGAAGCATTGATTGTGTATTTTTCGACCACCAAGTAAGCAATCCCCGGGTTAGCAATAGGGTATTAGGTAAGGATGACGAATCAATCGAAGAGGTAATGAATTTTTCAACAACTGGGGTGGTTAGGACATGTATTACGTATGTCCAAACACCGACAGATGATGTTTTCTGGAGCGAAGGTAGGCTAGGACCAGCCAAACCAAAACATGCCATAAGTTCATAAAGTCACTGATAATTGGACTGAGCCATGTTAATAAGTATAGACTAACTGGTAGGGGTCCATGTGACTATTGTAACCAATTGTTAGAGACTTTGAATGATATGGCTCGAAATAATTTGCAATGGCTTAGGTGCATTCATTCTTTGCCTTTCTACAAATTCAAAGATTCTAAATTCCTCATTTTCTTAAAAAGTTATTCAACTAATTTATATTTTCTCGAATCGTATCTTCGATCCCTAATCTTTTCTGTTACCAGTCATACTGTTAATACCTCTACTATTCTGGGATTCGGCCCGACACCTATGTGTTAATGAGGTATAGAAACGTGAACCGATATACAAACGTACAGGTTCTACATTTTGACTGATCGACTAATTACCACCTAACAGTGCGGAACATTAGATTTTCGAGCTTAAAACGGATTGGAAAAGAATGAATAAATGCATTTGATTACTCAGAAGCGATGATTCGAAAATTTTAATCAGGCTAATATGTAAAATAAAGTGGCGGGCTCGGATAGTTTTTTGCAATTCTCATGATTGTTGATCGTTGTAACATACAGGAACAAACATTTTAAAGATAACCAAAAAGTGATTGAGCACTAAGGAACTGATGTACCTAGAGAGTTGTATCACTCACGGAAAGATAGGTATATATAATTTTAGTATTCGTACAGAAACTGATTGCATTTCTTAACTTGCTCATCAACGCTTGACACAGGAACTGCATATGATGACAAAACGGTGTTTAAGTACACAATATCGTTAACGTCTGACTACAGTAATAAATTCTGACCAATTCGTAAGATTACATGTTACATATGTCGCGCAATGATGCTTGAGATGTCGATGAGATGCTAGAGAGTCCTATACGGTTAGACGATCATTTGACTATAAAAGTCTGAAGAATTGGTTATTTATGATGATTCAACCGATTAGGCAGTCCTGGGGTTAGAGATAGAATATCTAATACACATAATACGTTGGTTATGTAACCTTAGGCGGTTGGGACAAAATACATATGACGGATCGTCAACTACCTACTCTAGAATACGAATAGTTTGGTGGAACGACAAATATGAGCAAACGAAGAGATAGTATTAGTCAATAAAGGCACTAATTGTTAAATTTAGAGAAGTTGGTAGATTCAGACTACCCGGTAAAATATCGTGACCAATGGTCTGAAACACTGGGTGATAACGTTAAAAATCTGCTTCCGTGGTGCAGATGCATCTATTCTTTTATCAAACAGAGATTTGTTTAAATGAGGCCAGCTATAGGTAACACGACAATGACAACAAAGTGTTTGTAGGTCTCGAATAAGAAAGCTTGAAAACATTGTACTCATTTTTGTCCACTTATCCTGTTTTACGAAGAATCAGGTAGTGAATGGTATTTCTAGTTCGTAACCGAGTAAGTTGTAACTAGAAGTACGACTGCTTAACCTCAGTGACTCGATGAAAAGTCGTGCTTTTGAGCTTGCATAAAATGTGTAATTTACAAAGCAATAACTATTTTGCAAACATATTTCAAAAACTGTATTGCAGAATTATGGGTAGGCGTCTAGAGTAATGATGTCAAGAATTTTCACTATTAGGTGTATTCCAAAAGGTTAAATATGTAGTTTTGGTGGTACCCTAGTGAATGTTCACAAATACGAATCAATTTTCAAGTTGTCTGAGGTGATCAATACGAGTGGCTCTTTTCAGAGGTGTTTAGATAGCTGCCTTCATAAACTAACATTAAAAACAGTGCACGCACTATAGAGTCACTTAAGCTAATGGCTACATTTAGATGTAATTGACGTCGGTAGGAAGGGCTTAACAAAGATGACATTGAATAATACCTACTGATCAACTAATGTAACTCTTACGTCACCAGTGCTCTGAATAGCTAAATGGAAACATTCTAGCTTGAATCTCACAAATGCGTTTCTTCGAAATTACATGCACCTCATATCGTTGAGTGCCAACTTATGACACCCTCGTACTACCCAATGTTATTATTTTATATAAAGCCAATGTTTATTACGTCTTATTCATAAACGCAGAGAACAGTAGCAATTTAGGTGCAAAAAGAAGCTCAATAAGTATTAGACGTAAACAAACGATAAGGATTGTCGCACTATGGATGTCTGATTACTTCATGAAGTTACCGACTGTTGAATCGAATCGTAAGTTGAAATTAAGACTTTTGAAAGTGCTCAGGTTGATCAGAACCACCAGTAATAGGCATGTTTTGAAATTTACCAAAGTGACAATGATGAGCTTATTACCATTTATGCTACTATGAGTAATATTTCTTTGCAACTTCTATCTTATATGGTCATTTTTCCGGTCCCGAGTAGCATGATCACTAAGACTGATAAGAGCTTGATATCCCTTTCCCCAACTAGTCGAGGTAATGAGCATTTCCGATAGCCAATAAGTTGGAATGAAATGGCACGGAAAAAATGGTAGGTCTTGAAACGAAATTGAAAAGCATTGAAATTAGTAAAGAAAATCATGTTGAATACTGGGTCAAATGAGCAACTGTTTATATAGAACTAGTTAGTTTTACAGTCGGGCTTGTTGTATTTCTGCTGATTTAACGTGAATGTATAATTTTCCAGTGACTTACTTTAGGTACGTATACGTACTCAAAACAATATACGATTAAATCACAAAACTACATAAGTTTCATAAGTGATTCGATGACATGTTGGAATAGTTAATAAGACAGCTGAATTTGTAAGTTAGGTGTCCCCTAATAATATGAACCAAAAACTGACCAAATAACATTGGAAAAAGTCATTATTATTAAATTTCAATTCAGTTCACGCACTAGGTTAATTTAAAGCCTTCATTCTTATGCCATTCAAAGTGCGAGATAGAATTGGTAAAGTAACTTAAAAGGAGCTTACAAAGGTGCGAAAATCTGGCGAAACCCAACCAAGTGAAAATACACGGGCACGAGCACGTCCCGGCGACACTGAAATTGCGCCCTCGGACTATGACCTTCGGACGCAGTAATAAAGATAATTCGAATTATTTCGGAGAACAATGATGAAGAGAAACTTATTTTGTTCTAATATATTACTTTCGGAATAAAGATGTCTATATTTTAAGATTAGATATGAGTACTTGAGGAAGCAGGCATTAAAGTGTAGAGGCAAATAAATCCTCAAAATCAATAGCTTAACATTGGATGCTCACCACATTAGTTTAAATGGACTCACCTGGCCGAAGGCAATCGGTCATACATCACACCAGATCACGAGAACGTCGTGTTCAACGACTCCTGAGATCACTAGCCAGTTCATATCTGTCACTTCTCGATATATTGATAATCTGTCAAATATATCTTCCAACCTCCTCGCTTCTGGATTTTGATTTCACTGGGTGTTGCTGGCAAAGTGTTGTTAGACTATAATACCTGTGGCATCACCATTGACGAGCCTGACGTGATCTGATACACCAAACCATAAACTGTGGGTTTGTTCCTATTTGGAATTCCATAAATCATTGCTTTATTTTAATTTTTATGTGTTGTGATATTTTCTTAGAGTTTTCGGATATCTAGTTCATTTTTTTTCCTAGTTCATTATCGTACTTGATATTTCACCATGACGGAACAGACACCCTATGCACTTAAGTTGAAGACTATGTCCTCAACTTCGTTTCAACTATTGTCCTTCTGGACAGACAACATCGAAGCCTGGTTCTGCTACAAAGAAGCCGACTTCTACGAACAAAGTATGATTGATCCTTGCGCACTATTCCTCGCGGTAGTAAAGGAAATACTGAGCGAATTCAGCAGGTACTTCACACCTGGTATGTTTACTAATGATGTTTCAGAACGTTATGAAACTCTAAAACGGTCCATTCTGAAACCTGGAGATCTAAGCGATCGACGAAGGTTAGATAAACTACTAATAATATCGACGTGCATCATAGTTCTGAGACAGACATGTTGCTATGAATGAGAGAGGTTATTGGCCAAAGAGCTTTCGATGGTGGCCTATTCAAGCAACTTTGCTAATCCAAACTTCCTCAGCAGGTCCGAGCTGTGTTTGCCTCGTTTCAAAACAACTCAGTAGACCAGTTGGCTGTATCTGCCAACCGAATCCTAGAAATCACGAAATCCTCTAATGCCGAGGTTTTTTCAGTCATAGAAAAATCTCAAACGACCCAGCATGACATTACAGAATTATGTCATGCACACGTTATCTTAGATTTTGTGTTCGAACGGTTGCGAAAGCATGCACTACTGTAAACATTCAGAAATGTGAAATCAGAACCGACTCTTTAGATTTCCTAGGACACACTATTGATGCTCAAGGTATTGGACCTCTGAGAAGCAAAGTGGCAACCATTACGGATTACCAAGAACCGACCACCACTAAGCAATTGCACACATTTAATGGCCTTGTAAGTTTCTATAGACGGTTCGTACGGAAATGAGCGCCCCTTATGAAACATCTAACCGACCAACTTCATAGAAATGCGAAATCCATTAATCTGGACGACATCGCACGAAAAACATTCCCCACAGTTAAGGAACTTATAGCAAAGGTAACCATACTGGCAAATCAGGAAGCTCAAACGCCCATCAGTATCGCAGTAGACGCGTCCAACTCAGCAGTTGGAGGAGTCTTACAACAATGGGTTACCCACTCCTGTCAACCTTCAGCATTTTTCTCAAGATGGTTGCTAGACAGTGAATCGAGGTACAGTACTTTCGGTAGGGAACTCCTATGTATGTATTGTTCTGTACGACATTTTCAACACTGTATCAAAGGTTGAGACTTCACCCTTTTTACTGATCATAAGCCTCTTACTTTCTCTTTAGGCTCATCTTCAGACAGTTACTCACCTTGGGAGTCTCGACAACTGTACTACATTTCGCAGTTTACTTCAGATACACAACATATTTCTGGAGCAAACAATGTGGTTGCAGACGCCTTGTTTCACATAACTTCCTTGAACAGTTTCCAGGGAGTCGACTTTCTTAAACTCGCACAGCTTCAACAATAAGACACTGATCTTCAGCACGAGTTATTTTCAACAACAGTTTAACTGCACACTAAACAGATGGGAACAGGTAAGGAAACCTTACTGTGTGACACGTCTACAGGTGGGGATCGCCCAATCGTGCCGAAACATTATCGACACAACGTCTTCAATATGTTGCACACACTTTCTCATCCAGATGTGCGTGCATCCATCAAGCTTATAGCAGAATGGTTTTGATGGCCTGGCATGAATAAAGACGTGAGGGAGTGGGCACGCACCTGTGTAAGCTGCCAGAAATCTAAGGTCATTAGACATAACAAATGTCCCCTAGGCTCGTTCAAAACTACTGATGCTAGTTTCGACCATGTTCATATGGATTTAGTGGGACCTTTGCCAGACTCAAATGGATGCTTTTATATTTTAACCTGCGTGGACCATTTCATTCGATTTCCAGAAGAAGTACCTATTAAAAACATTACTGCTGAAACAATGGTCTGCGCCTTCGTCGAACGAGGTATGGCGAATTTCGACTGCCCTTCAACAATCACAACAGATCGTGGACACCAGTTCGAATCCGAACTTTTCCATTGTCTGCTAGCACTACTAGAAATCACTCGCTTCCGAATGATAGCCCACTACTCACAAGCAAACGGGTTGGTAGAACGCTTTCATAGACAACTAAAGGCTTCACTGTCAGCTACAAACGTTTCACATTGGACCGACGCTCTTCCACTTGTCTTACTAGGTATCCGCAATGCAGTGAAAGCTGACATCAGATCAAAATTTCGACTTCCAGGAGAATTCGTTGATCCTTCATCTTCTTCAATGAACATGGATCTAAACTCCTACACGAGTAGACCTACAAACGCAATGCTTCCAGTTAAACCTGTTCGCAGTTGACCGCAATCAACTGATGTTTTCGTTAAACCGGATGTACGATATAGAAAACATGTCTTCGTACGTCGAAACTCACATCGACGACTTCTCGAATCAGCATAAGAAAGACCCTTCAGAGTTCTTCAGCATGAACCTAAGTACTATATAGTCGATAAGAACGGCACTAACAGGCGCATCAGTATCGATCGAATCAAAGCAGCGTATTTAGAAGGAAATCCTATCCACGTCAAGGCGTAAGGACTAGTTAACTGATGTTTGGGATTCAAAAGGTGAGAGCTACTGATCGGTGTAGTTTGCCGCAATCCAAACTGTGGTGTTAGATGAATTCGACACTTCATCTTCCAATGGTCGATATATAATTTTAGGACACTTTAATGCACTTGCCATAGACTGGAAAAGTTTGAGAACTGAGTTATCAGAAAACCGTTTGAATAAATACTAGTTGTAGAGGTCATGACATTTAACCTAGTGCAACATGTAAAAAAACAACTAAGTGAGAACCGGAGTCTGAATCACTTTTAGCACATCTCTTATTGACTGATTATGGGGATAATAGCATAAACCACGATCACATGACACAACTAGGCAAAAGTGATTATATGTTTTCAATTTCCATGTCGTTCTGAACAGCGGCTTGTTAGTTCGAGCCCGACCAAAATTTTGAAAATGGATATACGAGAAATTATGCACTCAGCGTTCTTCATATATTAAATAATCGAGCCGAAATGTACCATAAAAACGGCTCGTAAGGTTTTCAGGAGCTTATGCATAAAAATTACAGCACGTCACGTCCTTTTAACCACATCAAGAGATCAATGCGTTCTCTGCCATGTTTGAGTGAGTAGGATCGTATATTTCAACATAAAAGAAAAAGATTGTGGGAGAGTGTGATAATTCGAAGTATTCGGATTATTACGCAGACTAGGAATCCCCGAAGGAACTCAATTAAGGCCAAATAAAACTAGGCGAGCACAAACGGACGTATTTTATCTGAAAATCAGAACCAGGCCATTATTAAGTACAAAAGAATCATTAGTTCATACAAGCAACACAGAAAGATTTAAGTTACTTGATAGTGGTTAGACTATCAGCTCTTAAGTATAATCATTGTGAATGCTACAATTCTAGAAGGCATTATTCGCAAATCGTTCAAGTAACTGGATGAAATCTGGTTTAGAATAGGTTATTCATATCTCAGAGTTACCGGGAGCTACTGAAAATTAATGTGCTCTCAAAGATCGAGAGCTATCGATAGTTGTACTTTTCATAGATTTCAGTAAGGCTTTTGACAAAGTTCCACACATCAGATTATTATCTGATTTAAGTGAAATAGAGATCGCGCTTATCACACAGAAGTGGATAAAGAATTTCCTAGTTCAGCAGTATTGAAGTGTACAAGTTAACGCCAAATTATTAAGCTAGGAAACTATGCTTAGTGGAGTGTCACAAGGTAAAGTTTGGGGACCAATGTTGCTCCTCTTGTTTGCTGATGATCTTTCTAGTCTTCTATCATCATAGGTTTTGTTATATACGGACGATAACAGGATATGCGGAAAGATGAAAAACGATGGTGATAGTTTAACGCCATAAAATAATCTACAGAAATCAAAATGAATGGTCTATAATTTGGAGTTTCAAATATATGGTTTCAATTGCTTTAAGGCTCATATTGGTCACCAAGTTACAGACAGACATGTAATGAATGACAATGGGTTACCCGTTGTTCAGAAACACTGATCTAGGATCCATTATCAGTCAAAACTTGAAAACATCAGTACGCTGCAACATAAAAACTTATAAAAGTCCAAAATATCTCTATTCAGTGAATTTCCTGAGAGAAAACACATGTGTGAATAGGGGACAGTTAGCATAATTTAAAGAATTGTTTATTTAATTACTTCATAAGTGTAATGGAGTTATTTTTTGGTTTGATTGAATGCATTTATCCACTTTCTTCAGTATAGACTCTTCTTTACTTTTGTGACTTCCAATAAATACCTTATAGCCGGAGAGATCATGGCAAATTCATCCCTCAACAATATAGTGTTGAATAGCCCAATCGCTTTACTTCCTAAGATACCTTTTGTTTCAGTTCCCCTTCATTTGCTTACCAGCTATGATACTCATATAACCGACGGGAATGACTGGTCATTGACCATAAGTAGGTTTGACAACTTTATTGTCTGTGACACT